CGAACGACACGAATGATTACTTTTTGGGCGGGTGGCGGATGTGGCCCTTGAGGAGGTTCTTGCGCGCGTCGCCGTGGTGCTTGACGTAGACCGTGTAGACCGAGTCGATGCGTGCGTGGTGCTTGACGTGGTCGCCGGCATACCACTCGTGGTGGATGATCGAGTACGCCCACGTTACAAAGAGGAACGTGACGAGGAGGATCGTCGGGTCTTGCTCCCAGAGCAAAAAATGGTTGACAATCACGATCGCACCGGGCCCGCCGAGCTCGATCGCCAAGTCGCGCGGGTCAAAAATCAAGTTGGACGACGCGGTCGACTTGACGGTGCAGTGGTGCATCACGTGGATCTCGGGCCACGCCTCGTGGAGAAACGTGTGGCCGACGTAGAAGAGCACTTCGACGATCACAATGTTGGTCGTGATGCCAAAGAGCGTGTAGCGCGTGTACGTCGACGGCAAGAAGAGCGCTTCGAGCGACCCGGGCGGCGCGAGGTTCTGGATCACGACAACGTTCATGACCTCGCCGAGCACGATGGCGAACGTCATGGCACTGAGCACGGTCCAGTCGGAGAAGCCGTTGTGGCGCAAGGTACGCACGTTCTCACCAAAGCTGTTGGACGCAAACCCGTCGACGACGGCGCTCGCGACAGCGAGGATCGAACCGATGACCGCACCGATCGAGCCGTACCAGTTGATGAGGACGAACGCGTTGAAGGCAAAGAGCATTTGCGCCATCGCAAAGTACGGGAGACCGTTCAGAAACGCAAGCGGGCCAGGCGTGTCGGCGCTGCGGATGATGCAGTCAAACGGCCCCGACGTGATGATCGGCACTGGCGCTTCGGGTGCCGCCTTCATGATGGGCGCAGACGCTTCGGGTGTCGCCTGCATTTTGAAAAGTGAGTGGTGCGAGCGCTTTTGAGGCCAACGACAACTGCGCCAGTTGCTAATCCCCTGTCTAGCATCGTCATCTGGATGCGTCCCACACTGGCCTGGTTCGCGTGGGACTCGTCTGGTCGCCTGTATGTTTTGGACTGGTCATGTACGCTGCATCGCAGTGTGTTCACGTTATCAGAACTGCACACGACATCCCCAGCGACCAGTGGACTCGCACTGGCGTCGCATTATTGTCATACAGTCGATGGACTAAGGATTTATCGCAGAGGCCGTGACAAGAGCGCATACGCGTGGGTGGCCGCGACCCGTCGCCGCCAACGGTTGTTACTCAATCGTCCACCGAACTCTGGGTACGACGAGCGTAATGTGATAGTGGGACGCTTCCATCAGCGCCTTTCCTTCGAGCGGCGCCAGCTATAAACGTGTACCACTCTACTTCGACGTAGTGGGTGCAGGTGGAACGTGCGGCCATCGGACGTCGCGCACCGAAGTCCCCAAACTTGTGGGCTTTATTGTAGTGTCTGCTTTTGAAGTTGACGACCACCGACGTGGTCGACACTCGCCGCGTACGAGGCAGTGCGAAGGCAGGAGGAGAACCTTCTCGTCGTGAGTCTGTACCTCACTTGAGCAACAACCTACGCACGAATGTGGGGCACAGCTGCGTCCAAGTAGCTCGCATGTAGAAGACTGCAGAGGAAGGCGCAAGAAGGCGAACGGTAGGGATGCTAGATGTGGGCCGCATCGAGCCGACGTTGAAGTAGCCTGCAAAGCAATACACGGTACTACGCGCTGTCGACTGTCCGAGACAGGAAGTCTCGGCACGAAGCATCGACGCTTTGGTGCGTCGCTTTCTCCTTCTCCTTCGTTTGCGACGTAAGCATGTGACGATGCGCTTGACGGATGGCTGCCCGTCGTTGAGAAGCGATGCGTCGTCATTTCTCGCGAATCCTTGCATACCTAGATTCGCTTTGAGCGTGGCGGAGGAGGATCGGCGTGAATGTATGCTCGTTTGGGCGCGTCAGCGGGGCGCGTCGATGCCGTCACTGCACACGCCCCGACACATTCCAGTATTAAGGCTCATTATGAATGGAAGTGAGCGCCACCGAAGTGCGCCTAGGTCGCTAGCGAGCGACATAAATGTAGCGCAACCCTCTTGACGTCAAGCCCTGCTTGACGCTTCTGTGCAGCCGCACGACGACGCCATCAGCGAACGTCATCTGTCTCGAAGATCCCTCCGGCTGAAAAAACATCTGTTTGTGAAGGGCAAAGCAGGCAAGATCAAGTGCTACTACAGTCGTGCGCGTCGTGTTGTTACTGCACATGTATCGTCGTCGTGGGGCCGTCGCCAATCGGATGCCTTGGCCGAGACGCTATGACCACGACTGCTACGCTCGAGTATGCTGCGAGCAGAAGCAAAACAAAATAGCGACGATACCGCTGGAACTACGGTGACAGCGAGGCTCTTAAGAATTCACCGCAGTGTACTGTTGTTAGATACCGAGGGCGATATATTACAGTGTATAAGCGCCAAACGGGACCACATTGAGACAGGCAGCGAGCGGCAACGACCTCACGGAGAGCGGTGCGCCTGTCGGCGATGCAAAAACTGGTCTGGCGACGTCCCAACCTTCGGCATCGCTCTTTGGCGAGTAACCCGCTGCGCATCTCTGCATGCATAGATATGCGTTCATCTTTGACGTTGAGATTCAAAAACAACGCAATGTTTGGCTGCGTTCGTTTGGAGGTTTCTCTTGCCTCCAATACAAAAGTTCTCATTGTAGACAAGTGCGAGTGAGTACATCGGAGGCAGCGCAGCGACAAGGCAAAGCTACAATGTCAACGATGTGCGTCGAAGAAGCAACGCTCGGAGGCGCTGCACCACAACCCCGTGCCACAACCCGAGCCACGCTGGCGCACGCCACAAGCGTTCGCTGTGCGATTTAGGGCAGGACAAGTGATCGGCGGCGCAGCTTTCTCATGTAAAACCAACAAGCCTCGGGACCAAAACATAGCCGCCTTTGCTCTCATGACCACGCTTCGCTTCTGGCTTGTGCAGCTCAAGAAAGGCCAGGACCAGTTCAACACTAGTGCAAGCAGCGAGGGAGCGTCTCGAGCCAATGAAGCTTGTCAATCCTGGCAGTGCCACGAGCTCGTCGCTCTTGTCAGTGCAGCGCACGACGTGACCACATAGCCTGCAATCTTGATACTAGTATGCAGCACCACTTGATAGTCCAATTTTTGAGGCTCCAAGCTAACACCATCTGCTCCGTGATTATATTGGTCCGGATGCGAAAAACCGGTTATCATCCGAATGCTGTGCATCGAAATCTTGGAGTTTCCGTGGCGGCATGCTCTGCCTCGGGACGCTTGATGTGGCCGTGCCATGGGCGGACGCAGTTGTCGTGAAGCGCGAGGTGCGGCTCCAGCGCGCCGACCTGCGCAGTCTTGACACCCACTTCTGGCCCGGCTTTGAGCGCTACTGCCTCACGCAGACGCTCTGGAAGGCGCTCCTCGCGTTCGCGCATGAGCACGACCTTCGACTGGACGCCGCCATCACGCCGTCCGTCGGCGGCGCCTGCATCACGCTCTCGCTGCACTTTGCATCAGCGCTGCCCACGCACGCCAAGTGGATCAAAGGCCACACGTACGTACTCGAGCACTTCCAGTCGGCGCTGCGACAGCCGGCGCGCGACCTCCCAGCGGCGTTTGCAGAGGCGCTGACGACCGAGTGCCACGTTCTCGGCTGCCTCCTCCACGATCACGACGGCGCGCCCGATCGGTACACGCTCGCAACGCTCTTTACGAGTTTGGAGGCGCCGTTCGAAGCCAGCCGCTTGGCGATTCGAGACGGTGGCGCCTACGCGGCCCGTTGCGCGGCGGGAAGCGCGCCATTGCTCACGGATCTGCCCTTCAACATCATGTGGGACATCATGCGTCTCCTTAACGCACAAGAGCTCGCGATGATCGCCATGGTTTGTACGACGCTGCAGCACCTGACGTACGACACGGTGCCCCGCCTCCGGCTGCACCTATACCCACACCAAAAGAAGGCGCTCAAATGGATGTTGTACCGCGAATGCTCGGCCCGGTGCGTTGGCCGTGCGTACCTTACTGCTCTGAACACTGCTCTTTAGGGCCCTCCCGCACCCGTATCTTGTCGGCGACGTCATCGACCCCGTCTTGCACCGCGTGCATTCGTCACCGCTGCCGGCCATCGACATGCGCGGTGGCTTTCTCTGTGACGAGCCCGGCCTTGGCAAGACGATCACAATGATCGCGCTTCTCCTGCGTACACAAGGCGCCAGGTCCCGCGTGACGACCTTGCCTGCGCTGGCCCATGACCGCGGCTACGGGCTTCGCTCGAGCCAAGGCGCGTCATCGTCCGGCTCTTCGCCGCGTCTCCTGGCGTCGGTGACGTCTCTTGTCATTGTACCCGACACGCTCGTCGCCCATTGGGGCCACCAGCTGTTCACGCACACGACCAACTTGAGCGTCTACATCGACGACCAGCGCGACTTGCCAAGCGCCGAGATTCTTACGACCTATGACGTCATTGTGACGACCTTTGGCCGCATCAGTAACCACTGGCAGACGCAGCGACCACTCGAGACGCGTGCGCCGGCGCGGTTAGGGTTTGAAGGCCAGGCGGCGTACGTTGACGGCACGCTCTCGCGCGGCCTCTCGCCGCTGCTCCAAGTCCACTGGGTGCGCATCATTGTCGACGAAGGCCATAAACTCGGCGGCGTGAGCATCACCAACGCGATCCAAATGCTGTGTGCGCTCTCCAGCGACAAGCGCTGGATCATGACCGGAACGCCGACGCGGCATGTCGCGCAGACCGACGGGCTCCGGCACCTGCACGGGCTGCTGCGCTTTCTGCGCGATCGGCCGTACGGTGCGAACGACGACAAGCCGTGGCTGCACGCGATCGCCAAGCCATTTGAGCGCCGCGACCGCGTCGGGTACCTCCGGCTGCGCCACCTGTTGAATCGCATCATGCTGCGGCACGTCAAGAGCGATGTGCAAAGCATTCCAGACCCAGTGCGCACGCACGTGATCGTACCGCCGTCCGACCTCGAGTACCGCATCTACAATGGCGTCGTCGGCGTCATTCGTGGCAACCTTGTGGTAGAGTGTACACATTGTTCATTCGACGCATCATGATGCGACGCCCGTAGGTGACAAAATGGGACCCGTTGACGCCCGGGCCAGCGCACAAGGACAGTTTGCTGAACCCTGAAAATCGGTAGGATCTTGGCCATATTGTCGCAACATTCAACGACGTTTTTGCAGGCGGGACGCGCTCACGGCGCTGGCCAACCTGCGCCTTGCGTCCAGCGGCGGCGGGCAAATGGACGTTCATCTCTCAACGGCGTACTACACCGAGACGATCGAGTACTTGAACGAGTTCAAAGTGCCGCCCGAGCGCCAAGCGCGTGTGATTGCCTACATGCACGACGCGCCCAACGGCCTCTGCACGCCGTGCCTTGCCTGTTGCCGCGCGCAGCAGTTTCTTATGGTCGTCCCGTGCGGCCACTTGCTTTGCGCCGACTGCATCGATGCCCATGTCTCCACCACGGGGTTTGAGCGCGACTTTTACACGACGTGTCCCGCGTGCTATGCGTCCTTTGACTGGGAAGACTTTCAGAAGCTCCAGCCCGGCTTTGACTACAAGTGGGACGCCCAAGAACCGCCCGAGACGGAGGCAGCGACGCTCGCCGCCCACATTTGGTCGAGCAGCAAAGGCCTCTACGTTCTCTCGCGGGTCACGGCGCTCGTGGCCGACGCGACGGCCAATCGTGCCAACCCGTTTGCACCGCCGACGCGGCCGATCAAGGTCATCATCTTCTCCGAGTTTCGTGAGCACCTCTTCCGCGTCCGGTTCGAGTTCAAGCGCCGCGCCATGCGAACCGCGTCGTTTGTCCAAGGCGACGCCATGAAGACGCGGCTCGAGCAGCTCCGGCTCTTCCAGCACGACCCAACACTCCATGTGCTCTTTCTGACCGAAGTCGGCGCTGTCGGTCTCGACCTCTCGTTTGTGACGCACATCTTCCTCATGGACGAGGTCTGGGACAAGAGCGTCGAGCAGCAAGTGATTGCGCGCGCCCACCGCATGGGCGCCACGGGGCCGGTCGTCGTCGAGCAGCTCGAGATGCGCGGGTCCATGGAGACGCTCGTGCGGCAGTCGTACGAAAGCCACGCCAAAGATGCGAGCTCGGTGCGCGGCGCGCTGAAAAATGCGCTGCAGACAAGAAAGAAGACGTCGGCGACGTCGTCGGCGGCTGCGTCTGAGCGCTCCGGGGCGTCGCGTATCGGCTATGTGCTGAGCAACGTGCGCCTGATCGAAGCGGGCGCTTGCAACGAGGCCATCGTAGCGCCTGCCGAGCCACTGCCGACTCTTCTCTCGGTGCCTCGGGCCGACGTGTACAGGGCCCATGCGCTAGAGACATCGCCGCGGCCGCTCAAGCAGCGCAAGACGGTCCGGTTTGAAGATGAGGGGTAGGGTTTCGGTGTAACGGGGTAGGGTTGTCGCGCTTCGTCCGGACGTCAACGACGCAACGTGTACAAGTATATTGTGTACAGTGTACTTAGTAGCTAGAACTGTAGAGTGCTGAACACGTACAGCCGACATGAGTGCGGGCAGATGAGCAGAATATGGTTGGACACAGAACGCGTTATAATTACAGGGCAACAAGCTACGGTCGCATGCGCCTCTGGGTGCTTGTCTCGACACTTAGAGCTTCTTGAACCACGAAATGACACTCTGTACAAACGACGGATCCTTCTCGAGCGACTAGACATATTCGATTAGTATATACCGCGATGCAAGGACAGTGCATGGACGTACCACTGAGTAGGTCCGACTGCGCGTCCGCTTGGGCTCAGCAGCTTCTTTCGACGACGCAGATTTTGGAATGCTGGCTTCGAGCACGAGATGGTAAATGGAGCTGCCGACGTCGTCGTGGCGCGCGCGTTCTTCAGCTTCTTCCAGCGCCGTCCAGCCTCGCTACCAGTGCCGATACGATGAGCAACGACCATGCAGCAAACCGCTCGACGTACGCGGTTGACAATGGCCGTCGACGCGAGTTCGTTCAGGAGCAGTTGCACGATGCGGACGTTGGCGTGGCGGCAGGCCAAGTGCAGCGGCGTGTCCCCATACTACATAAGACCGTTGCCATCGTCTCGAGCCCGACGACACATGGAGGACCTACCTTGTCCATGGAGTGGATGTGGGCGCCGGCTTGGATGAGCAGCGTCACAATGTGTGTGTGGCTGTGCATGCATGCCACATGCAGCGGGAGGTCGCCGTCCGGCGTCGCGACGTTGGCGTCCTGCTTGGCGTTTTGTAGCATCGCGCGGACTTCGTCCACATCGCCGACAGCGATCGCGCTGCAGAGGTCGGGAAAGCCCTCCTGTGCATCGTTAGCGCCGCCAACACGAGAATTCGTGGTACCAGAGTCTTGGGCAGCTGCGGCGTCTGGAACGCAAGGTAGTCGGTGTCCATGGCGCTCGAGCCACGCCGCAGCGCCTCTTCGTCGGCCTTCTTGGGCGGCGACTTCTTGCCAAAGAAGGCGCCGGGCGCCGTTGTCTGCATCGAGCTCGATCGCTTCTTCATCTCGTCGTGGGAGGCGCGCGTAAAGGCAAAGAGCTTGGTAAAGGTCTAGGGCGGAGTACTCTACACGGTAGGTGCTAGCTGTCAATGACGCTCGTGGTGCTAGGCGTCGTACAGCGAGGATGGGCTAGCATCGACCGGCTCGAAGGGGAATGAAGGCTGGTGGAATATCTTGAGCTTTGTCCCATTTTGGGACAAACGTGACCATCACTGCGCACCCAACCCATCTCTCCTTGCATCATTGCTACGCTTGAATGCAAGCGCGTGCATAGAACCGGACTGAACCGAGCGTAGCACCGTGGTCCTATATAACTATATAAGTATAGTAAGTCCGCGCATCGTTGGGTGGACGTCGGGCGCTGCATCCTGAAGTGGCGGTGGCCTCTTGGGACAAACCCAAACACCCAAAAACCCACATTGCCGTTGGCGTTCGACCAATGAATTCCACGTGCGATTCGGCAGCCAAATATTCGAGCCAATGACGTGGCGGTCCTCCCCACAATCCGCAGCAGCCTCGTCGCCGGTCGTCGAGGACCGCGTCGGCGCTGAGGTTGGGTCTCTGCGAGGGTTCGGATCGGTCAAGCACTGAGGCACTTGGTCGCACGCCTATCATTTTCAAACAAATAGCGAGTTAGGGTGATCGAGGCCACCACTCGGGAGCAAGTAACCATTACTGGCGACAACTCGATGGCGGACCCTTCTCGCTGAACTCGGGTAGAGTATGCAAGCAACAAGGCGAGCCCTCGTGCGTGCAGATAAAGAATGCTGGTGGGAGTGCTTGGAGGCAGCGCACTGGCCCGATAAACATGATGCAGAAGACTCGACGACGCGCTGTCATCGAGTGATTCCGGTAGGTGACTGGCGACCGATCGCCCGATCATTCTGCCCAGACACAAAAGAAATTATCGACTAAGAATTGTTGACGCCGAGTCCCACAGAAGACCCGCGACCGAACAATCTCTATCTCAAAAACTACGTAACCGAGTTTTGTCGCAAGTGTATATAGGTTTAGGTTGTGCACTACGAAAGCGATGAAATGGTGCTACTCTTCGTCGTCGTCCGATTGGCCATTGTAGTCATGATGGTCGTCCGAGTCCTCATCGTCGTCGTCGTCCGAGTGCCCGTGGCCAGTGTACTCTTCAGCTCCGCTGTCGTCTTCGTCGTTGCAGCCGTCATGCTCGTCCTCGTCGTCCACATTGTTGTCGTGATCCACTTCGTGCTCCTCGTCATCGTCGTCTTCTTCACCATTCTCGCTGCCGTCGTCGTCGTCGTGCACCTCCTCGTCTTCTTCGTCGCAATGGTCATCGTCGTCGGCTTCGACTTGGTCATCGTCGTCTGCCTCGTCGTCGTCTGCCTCGTCGTCGTCGTCTGCCTCGTCGTCGTCGTCTGCCTCGTCGTCGTCGTCTGCCTCGTCGTCGTCGTCTGCCTCGTCGTCGTCTGCCTCGTCGTTGTCGTCTGCCTCGTCGTCGTCACATTGGGTCTCCTCGTAGTACTCGACGTGGTCGTCGCCACAGCCCGCGTCACAGCCGTGGTCGTAGTCGTCGTCGATTCCAACCTCAAAGTAGGCTGCGTCGTCGCCGCAGCCGTTGTACTCGGTGCACTCTGGGTGGTCGTTGTCGCAGCAATCGTCGTCGGTGTACTGAACGTGGTCATTGCCGTAGTCGTCGTTGTCGAGATGCTCGGGGTGGTCGTAGAGGTCGTAGTCCAGGTACTCTTGGTGATCGTCGCCGAGGCCGTCGTCGTCGGTGTACGCTGGGTGGTCGTTGTCGTAGCAGTCGTAGTCGAAATGTTCGTGGTTGTTGCCGTGCATTTCGAGGGTCACGTGGGTCCCATGGAGGTCGTCGAGCTCGACGTCGTATTGGTGCTCGTACACGTCGTACTGCCCATCGTACTCGAGCTCGTTCTTCTCGGTGAGATACAACTGCAGGTCGTAGTGATCATTGTCGTAGATAGCGCTCTCGACGTAGATGCTGTGCTCGACGACGACCATGTTGGCGCTGTGGCTCTGGTTGCGCGCCACGCCGTCGTTCGCGCGACCAATCGTCGACGCCGTCGTTGCCTGCGTCCGTCGCGCAGCCGGCGCGGTCGTCGCAGTTGGCTTGGCGGTCGTCGCAGTTGGCTTGGCGGTCGTCGTCTTTGGCTTGGCGGTCGTTGCAGCTGGCGGTGCAGGCTGGGGCTTCGTTGGTGTGGGCTTGTTAGCAGCTCGGGCGGGCTTGGTGGCGACCGGATTAGGTCGCACGGGTGCCTTGGCTTGGTCATCACGACCGTTCACGACGGTGCTGGCGGCCGCCACAAGCTCGGAGGCCACATCGTGCAAGTACAAGACATCGTTGCAAACGTCCCGGACAGCTTCGACATGCGCCGCGAATTGCGACGTCGACGCCGCCGTTGTCGACGCGGGCTTTGCACGGACGGTCGGCTGCTTCTTGGGCGTTGCCGTGGGCTTGCTCGTCGCCGCAGCATTCGACTTCACCGGCGCCTCGGTCTTCGTCACGGTCGTCTTGACTGTCACTGACTTGGCCGGCGTTTCTACCTTCTTGGTTGGCGCCTCTGCCTTCGTCGTGGGCGGCTTGCTCGTCCCAGGCGCCGGGGTCTCGGACGTCTTGGTGGGCGTCTCAGCCGGCTTGGCTAGAGCTGGCGCCGGTTTGGAGGCCGTCGTCTTCTTGGCTACGAGCGGCGCGGGCGCAATCTGGAACGGGCCGTGGGTCGCATCGTTCTGGACGCAGTCGCGGCACAAGTTGTAGTTGGGCGTCGTCGTTGACCGGTACCGGACGCCGACGATCGACGGCGCGTGGCAGGCGTCGCACGCAAACCCTCGGTGCACGACGGGCGTTTCGATCGACTGGTATGCTCCGCCATATCCGCCTTTGACGTAGCAGGTCGAGCACAGGTCCGCGTTGGGCGTCGCCTTGGCCTTGTAGCGCGTACCGACGATCAACGCCGCCTTGCAGTTGCTGCACGCGACGCCGGGGTGCGCGGCCGGCAGCGCCCACGCAAAGAAGCTCCCGTGCTCGGCCGTGTAGGTGCCCGAGTCGGTGCATGACTTGCAAAAACTTAAGGCCGGGTGCTTCGTCGACTGGAACCGGGGCCCGACGACCGGTGCGGTCTTGCACCCTGCACATGTACTGCCCGGGTGCACGGCGGGCGGCTTGATCAGCACCGTGAACGGACCGTGCGACACGTTCCAGCGCCCCGAGATGGCGCACGACGCACAGAGGTCGAGCGACGCGTCTTTGGACGACGTGAAGCGGGGACCTACGATCGGCGAGGCTTTGCAGCCGCCGCAGACGGCACCTCGGTGCGCCGCCGCGCCGTGCAGCACGATGAATGGCCCGTGCGTCTCGTCATGCGCTCGGGTGCGAACACAATGCACGCAGAGGTTGAAGCCCTTGACAGCCTTGGAGACGGCGCGCGGACCGACGATGGTGGCGGCCTTGCAGCCGCTGCAGCTGACGCGGTGCACGGGCGGCGCAGCGTGGAGCGCAAACGGGCCATGCGCTGTAGCCGACTTGGCCGCGCACGGCTTGCAGTAGTCGATGCTGGGGGTCGTTGTCGACTGGAGACGCGGACCAACGATCGGGAACGAGCTGCAGCCGTGGCAGGCGATCGGGTGACGAGGAGGGGCGACCGTAGCCATGCTTGGACTGCTGGTAGCTTGAATCGCAAATTGGAAAATGGCAGTCGGGGCAGTCGACCCTCGCGGGAGGGTGGGAGGGCGCCATTAAAGTTGAAGACGAGCGCCGTCGTTGTCACGACGCGCAGCTGGTTGATACTGTCCGCTCGCGCTACCACATGTGAGACGGCATTCCAGCCCCACTTCACATCCTGCTCCATCCACAGCCACGCGCAACTGGACTGTATGGAACGTAGTTTCTAGTACACGCCAGGTCAAGACGCCTGCCTCGGCACCGTCAGTGTATGTACTTGATGACCAGGTTGTCCCTCAATGGACACAAGACGTATGTATTTGCCCTCAAACGGCTTGCTGCAGCGGCGCGACCGCGAGGAGGCAGTGCGACGAGCCAGTTCAATGTACCTTCTTCTTTCAAATGATAGGGAACACATCGAAGCCAGCATTGCACAGCCTCGTTGGGTGCAGCGTATCTTGAGGAAGGATATGTCTGAGAATCGCTACGGGTTGTAGAGAGTATGTATGGTAAATGAATCTGTCGTCGTTCTAGAAATAAGGGAAACAGAGAGCGTGGGTTTATGCTCCTGCCCATCGTCGCAGCACGTCGTCGCAGCACGTCGACGCCGCACGTCTTTACCCACCATTCTCTATCCTCGATCAGCCTCCAAAAATCACTGCACGACGTTGTTGGCGACTAAAATATAAGGCAGTTCGAACTTTCCACCGAATCAGGGTTCACGGGCTTGGTCTCTAGATTTGAAATTGTTGCTCGGCGGGCCCTTCGCAAGTACCAAGACCATAAAAATATAGCCTTGCAAGTACGCACTTGGAAAACCTAATATGTCTACGGCCGTTATCGAAGGTAGAGGGTTATGGCATGGTGTTTGATTCTATAAGACTATGTCAGACTAAGATCGGATTGATTGCTGCTGTGTATCCGATACACCAGCACAAAAGCATTGCTCATAAAGTTGTTTGTGTACTATCGTATGATGCATTTTTGCCCAGGTCCTCGAGGCGACGTCGTGAAGTCACCGCCGTCAACGCCGAGGAGCATGCTCGAAAGCAACTTGATAACCTCAATGTAACGCTTCCGCAGCACCAGACGTTTCGCTTCGACACCAGCCGTTTCATGTATGTGTCGCATATGGTCGTCCGCCTTGTAGACTGTAATCCTGCGTCTCCATCCCATACGCGGGCCGATTTCGACTGCAGTCTCTCTCGACGTCCCTAGGAACGCACAACACTGCCTTTCGGACGATGTACGAGCTTGTAAATACCAAACCACGCATAAAGCATCGATCAACAATGTCATGAGGTCACTGTGGGACGTCAACGAGGTCGCGCAACGACACTTTTCAATCACTTCCTGAATCAAGCGCCTAGCCTCGTCCGGTCACTCGCCTGAATTTATGATCTTTTTGCTCGCTTTGATTGAACTTCACTTGCTTGGTCGCCGAGCCGCTTCCTATTCAAGACCGTACTCCTCTGCGCTAGTGTGCATGCTAGTATACTGAGAGTAGAACCTACCTATCAGCGCTTGCACGCACTCGTTCTGATGATAAGAACAATCCATTGAATTTGCCTGGTCGCTAAGGACCAAGGACATAAGCTGTGCAAAAATCGTTGAACGGAAGCTGTGCAAAAATCGTTGAACGGACTCTTGTGGTGGCAGCGAGCCTCAGTTTTCAATTTCCGCTGCCAATACCATGTCGACTGCCGCGCCAGCCAAGCACCCCGTCGCCTGCCAAGGTTGCAACGCCTTTCCGATCGTCGGCGTGCGTCTCCAGTCGGCCAAGGTGCCGAGTGTCGACCTCTGCAAGCCCTGTGCGCTGAGTGCCAAGTGGACCAAGTCGCACGCGCCGTTCTCGGTACACAAGGCTCCGCCGTCGCACCTCACGGGCTGCAGCGGCTGCAACGCGCCGCGCATCGTGGGCCCGAAAGCGACGTCGACCAAGGACCCGAACTTTGAGCTGTGTGCCTACTGCATCCGCAGCGGCAAGTTCAACCGGTCCCACGGCCCCTTCAACGTGCTGCATGGCACCGCCACGCACCGCGGCACGACGTGCGGAGGCTGCCGCGTGAGTCCGATTGCCGGTCCGCGCATCCGGTCGACGACCAACACCAAGTTTGATCTCTGCGCCTCGTGCGCTGTCTCGGGGGCTTACAACAAGTCCCACGGGCCGTTCCGCATTCGCATTCGCCCGCCGGTCGTCCACCCGGGCTCCGAGTGCATCGCCTGCGACAACCAGAAGGCTATCGTCGGGCCTCGATACCAGTCAACCCAGCATCCCTTCGCGCAGCTCTGTAAGCGCTGCCACGACTCGAACCAGTACTCGGACGAGCTCGGGCCGTTTGTCGAGTGGAAGAGTGTGGTCGTGCACGCAGGCGTCCAGTGCAACAGCTGCAAAGTCATGCCGATCGGTGGCCCGCGCTACAAGTCGAAGACGTACGACAACTACGACCTCTGCCAGTCGTGCGTTGACAAAGGCTCTGACTGTGGTCCGTTCATCAAGATGGAAACGCCGACGGAGCACGCGGGCATCTTTTGCGACGGCTGCAAGATCCCGTCGATCCTCGGCATCCGATACCGGTCGCTTACCACCGCCAACTACGACTTTTGCTATGATTGTGTCGAAGTCTCTAGCGTTGGCCACAAGCCGTTCCAGCTCCTTTTGCGGGCCGCGACGACTGCGACGCCCATGACGCCGATCGGCACGGTGCTGCGCACCGCCACCAAGATCGAGGCCGCGCTCGATTTTTGCGAGGACGTGCTCTACCTCACCGACTTTGTCTGCGACCAGTACCGCTTGGCGCAAAACTTCTTTGGCGACGGCGACATGGACGTCTTTGAAGGTGACTACGGCTTTGACACGACCGACGACGACCTCGCCGCGCTCATGGACGGCGTGAACATCGACGAAGGTGGCAGCGGTACGGCCGACGACAGCGATGTCGACGAGAGCCAAAGCGAGAGCGGAGATGAAGCGTACAGCAGCGACGGTAGCGACGGTATCAGCTGCAGCGACGGTGGCTACGGCAGCGACGGTGGTGATTTCGGCGTCGATTTGGACGACGGCGGTAGTCTCGGCGGTGCCTTCATGGATGTGTTTTCAAGCATTTTTGGGTAGAAATGCCACGCTTCCACTTGACAAGTTGATACTTTTTTCTATTTTGCGTTAGTACCTACCGAATTTACCCTAAATTTGTCATGTTCTTTCAGGACGACTGTGTCGGCGTTTTTGGAGGTGCAATGACGTGAGCGATCCAGCAGCTGGAACTTTGACACGCCATGCAGGCCTGTAGACCTCCCACTGTCAAGTCCACGGACGATTGCCGTCAAGGCGGCACGGGTTGTTCAACTGCACTGAAACCACAGCCTCGTTCATGAGCCCAATTAGGCATAAGTCTAGTCAACAGCCGAGGAGTCGGGTGTGTTCCAACGAAACCGCATCTGAAGTCGGGACACCGACCGAGCACTTCGCACCGACGGATCTTTATCAAATCGACCCTGCAATCCAAGCGAGAAACCCGCAATTCAGCCTCGAGTACACTCTCAGCTTCCTCCAGTTACAAAAGACAGCCACCAGCAAATGCAATACTACCAACTTACTGGACTATTCCCAGCTCGCTGGATTTTGTTGGAATGAGTCTATTTTGTACCGTAGTTTCGCAGGGTCGACTTCAAGGAGGGGCACGATCCCCGCTCGCGCCATTGCAAGTGCTCGTAGTGATATGTGCTGGAAGGAATCTCTCTCATCCCCGCAATACATGGTTGTTCATTTAGAAGTTCTTGCATCGCTGCCATGTCTGCAGTTGCTCGTCATCCCGTCGGCTGCAACGGCTGCAACGCCTTTCCATTGTCGGCGCACGTCTCCAGTCCACGGCGGTCCTGAGCATCAACTTCCGCAAGCCTTGCGGGTCGAAGCCCTACTGGTCTCGTACGCACGGCCCGTTTGCCTTGCACAGCGTACCGCCAAGACACTCGGCGCACTGCGACGGCTGCAATGCCTGGCCCATCATTGGTCCGCTCGCAATGTCGACCAAGAACCCAAACTTTCACCTGTGCCCGTTGTGCACGCGCAGCGGCCGGTTTGATCCATGGCACAGTCCCTTCAAAGTGCTGCATGCACGGCCACGCACCGCGGCACGACCTGTGGAGCGTGTTGCATGCGTCCGAAGAACCCGACGGTCGATCTCTGCGGGTCTTGCGCCGTCTCGGGGCACTGCAACTCTTCCCTCGCGGCCTTTCACATTCGCATTCGCCCGCCGTATGTGCACCCGGGCGTGGCGTGGCGTGTCGAGGCTGCAAGGCGCCGTCGATCGTGGGCCCTCGATACCAGTCGACCAAGTACCGGGCCGAGGACTTTTGAACCCGCCGCCACGACAAGCATACCGCGAGCTACGGTCCATTTGTCGTCTGGAAGATGCCGGCTGTGCACACAGGTATCAGCTGCGACGGGTCGACGCACCACAGCAGCTACGATCTGTGCCCGACGTGCTAGGGCAAAGGCAAAGGGGTTCGCGCATTGACACCAATCGAGACGCCTGCACAATGGTATATCCTGCGACGGCTGCCGTACGATGCCGATCCGTGGCATTCCGTGCTCGTTGCTATGGAAGCGCACCGCGTGGCCCAAGGGCTCTAGAACAACGAAAGCCTCGATGCGTTTCAAGGCGACGACGAGCTCTACGTTTTTGGGCGTGGCTCGTATATCGTCGATGGCAGCGTCGGCAAGCTTGGGAACCAGATGTGCCCGGAAGGCTACACGACCCTCAATCCCGATGTGGGCGATACCACGACGCCCCCATTCGACCCTGTTGACGCGAGCACCAACTCGTTCGTCGGCACGTACACTGCAGACCCGTCGAGTGGCATTGGTGTCGACGGCGTCGTCGGTGGCGCTGTCAATCTTGTGGGTTCGGTTCTCTGCATGATTTCTCAGTAGTATTTTCAAGAAAGGCCAAAATTGTATCAATTTGATGTCTGATTTCAAGCGCTCTTTCATGAAGTTCAGTGTTATGTCATCGACTATAGCACTTGCTAGCCGTGGACGGTCCCTTCCAGAGTACGCTGCCGCTTCCTTGGCAGATGCGCCGGGTCGTACGGATGCACAGGAGCTTGTGCGACGAGGATGTCCAACCACAGGACAATTTCTCGGTCCTTCTCGCGTTTGTGTTTGACGCGAAGGGCCTCCACGAGCTCGTCGCGGCTTGTAACGTTGCCCTTCCGCTTGTTAATATTCCACGCCCATTCGGTTTGGGTCAGCTCGAGGCAGCTCGGATACGTTGCAGCAATGCGTGCGACGTTATGGCACTGGCCGGTTTCCTTGCTCAAGTACAAGTTGTCTTGGCATCTGTCCCAGAGGAAGTCGCGAAAGTGAGCGCACACCGAGCAGTGCGCGTCATTGACGAAAATGTCGGGCAGGCTAAAATCAGCAACGTCGGGAAGAGGCTCTCGGACCCCAACAGCGTCGAACGTTGCCAAACATTTCGCTGCCACGAGCGCCGTCACGCGCACGAGCTTCTTCTCGGCAAGCGCAGAAATGGCGGGCAGCAGCAGCAATCGGTTGGCCTCGATCGTTGAGGGCACGGCGCGCAGCCATGACGCTGCAAACGCTTCAATGTGGTCTGGTGCGACAGCGAGTAGAATGCGAAGGGCGGCTGGGAATATCCCCGCGCGGTGCTGGTTGACGGTGATCGATGGAAAGTCACGCTTGTGCTCGAGGTGCCGCAACGCCCAACCCTCGACTAGCGGTAGCTGCGGCGCCAGCGCCACGAGGAAGTCGCCAAAGAGAAATGTCGTAGCTGGCGATAGCGGCATGGGTCGCCGCTTCAAAAGCGCATCGAGGGCCGCCACGACCGAGAAGCGCCAGATTTCCCACATGTGCGCCAAGACAGCTGCACTACAGCGCCCGGTCGCATCCAGCGATGTCACGATGCAGCCAATGCTGGGCAGGGACATGGTTTTGATCCGTCGCGAAATTTCGTGAGTGCTGACAGTGTCGACGGCCGCTACAAGAGCTTCTGCGTACGCGTCCAGTGGCATGTTGGGCTGGCTGCGCAAGACAGCGGCAAGCGCCTGAGGCAGCGTCATCACAAGGGCTATCGAGAAGCGGATGGTATCGACAGCGATATAGCTTGTCGCGTCCCCTTCCTCGTCGTCACTGCGTCCGTCGTCGATGCTGTAGATCCCGAAAAATGGCGCCTGGAGCTGCACCAAAACATCCGTGCTTTTCGGGGACACAAAGCTCTCGACGAGTTGCACGAGCACCGTCGGTAGTTTGTGGGCGAGGCAGCTACCTTCGGAGGCACCCGGCAGGGTCATATGCCACTGCAGCAGCAAGTAGTGCGCGACGAACGTCGGTACTGGATCGCGATCGTTGGCGAAAAGACGCTCGTGCGCGAGTACCTGACGCCAGCTCGTCGCGACGAGCGCCGCGACGTCTTCGTGACGCAGCGGGGGACACACGGCGTCGTGAGTGATCCCCACAAGACTTGCTAGTAGCTGGAGCACCTCGCCCGTGTGGCTTGGCACCCAGCGATCAATGAGACTCAAGATCGCTGGCCGCAGGCGCACCCAGCCGTACTGCACCACGCACGCGCGCAAAAGCGGTGCAATGCTATCGATGGGGGTCGTTGGCGTGACGCTGACGACGTGGCCCACAAAGAGTCGCACGAGGTCGCATTCGTTGTACGCGAGAAGCAGCGACCCCATCGACGCCACGGCGTCCATCTCGAACGGGAGTCGACTCGCCCCCAGGGTCGTAAACATTGACATGGCGCCGAGTAGAAACTCCCGCGTCGAGTCGATCTCGAGTGGTCGTTGCGCTCTTGCCGTGAACTCTGCGAGGACGACGCTGCGCGACAACGGCAGCACGCGTTCCGCCCCCGCGAGCTAGGTGCGGTATCGCTTGTGCCAAAAGATCAGCGCCTCTTCGCCGTGCGTGCACGCAGTCAGTTTGAGGCAGACGTTGATGGGCATACCGACCACATTACCCCAGACACACTGTGGTATCGAGCAGGCCGGGTGGGGATCGCAGCGGACGACGACATATGTCTTTGTTTCGTACACGCCCCATGCCAGGTGTCATGGATGCTGCTGCGCTTGACAGTGGCCAGTGCAACGTCGTAGCATCTCGTCGCAAGCAAAGCGTCCACAAGTGCCGCGTCTTTTACGGGAAGCTCCCCGAACGAGCGTCCCGATGGCTTGGTAATGTACCGAAACACGAGGGGTTGTCGGTGCAATGGCTCATTTGCAATGTCCAGCAGCGCGGCGACCGCCACCTCTTGGGCTTGTGGCGCGGTCCGAAACCCAGACTCGGGCTTTGTGCAGACCAAGTTGTAGACGAGCGCGACGCGTCGACCGATCATGATCCGTGTCGAGACCAGTTGTGTGCTCGAGTAAGTGGCCAAGCACTGCAGCGTCGCCTTGGCCACCGGCATTTCGTCCACCGTCTCACTGCGATGATCGCTCTGAAAGAATAGGCCACCGCCCACGTACGTCGACGGCAGCCAAATGATGAGCACGCCGAGCGTGTTTGGCACCTCTGCGCTCGGAGCGAGGGCCGTCGAATTGCCATTGGCGTCAAAGCAGAGGTGGGAGAGTGTTGCAGTCGCGTGCTCTTGGCCAAAGTCCTTGCGGACGCTGACGAGCACGTCATCGAGAAATGCGTTCCAGCCCACGTGGTTGTTGATGCGAAAAGCCGATGCGGGAATGACGTCGCTCGTGTAAAGCGACGCGATTTGCGTTTCCTGGCGTGTGGGCAGCGGCCAGGTAATGTACTCGGAGAGCCCGTTGATGCGCAGGAACGGGTCGGTGATGTAGCTCTGTGTGTACGTCGACACAAACGTGCGTTCCAACACGAGTTGGTCGATGGCTGCTTTGTACTTGGCTTTGATCGTGCGGGATTCCATGGCGAGTGCTCAAGTGACCTCAATTTGATGGTGGTTTGCTCGTCAAACCACTAAAATACCGACCAACGAAATCGATGAATTTGCTCTATTTTCGACCAAAAGCTCTTTCCAAAAGCCCACGGTGCCCCCACGCTGCCGACATGAGATAGGTCGGGTACGAGCCATTGTCATCCGAAAGCACTGACGTCTCCGTATATGCAGCGTAGCTCACACGTTGGAGCCATACAAACACTGGTGGACCTCCCAACGTCCTTCCCAAAACCGAGGGACTCTTCGGATCGGATCGAACTAGTTCTTTCGTATCGACACGACATTTTCATCTATTTCGTGTTCACGTTGCCTGACTCACGCTTGGAGAATGCCTGCGCTCCAGCAGACTCATTTGCATGCGCGGTATAAAGTTCTGGTGTCTGGGATCGCGAGCATTATCTTGACGTAGAATGGCACTGTTGTTTCCACGGTCTAATCCCGACAATATCGCTGTCCACTGACGCAATTTTTGTCCAAATCGTCGGCGAAAGCGTGCCATGGCCCTTACAAACCGCAACGAGTACTAACGTTAGCACAGGCCGAGTGTGGCTACACTTGCGTACTGCTGGTGCTTGGTCTCACCGTGCGACGTTGATGTGGGAGCCGCGCGTCTCGTCATTTGGGCTGACCAAACGGCGAGTTTGTCAGATCTCGTCCACGTCAACATCGTACCAAAACAAGCAGTTTGGTTGCTCGCATGGCAGCGACGGTCGCCGCTGCTCGAGCCAACAACTATTATAATAACGTTTGGCTGATATCGCTGCAACCTTAATCTCATCGTTCATTGGTCGACCTGCTGCGAAAATGTGGGTACTCTCCAGCCAGAAAACGGTATGCGCCGTCGCCACACTTTGAGCCTTGAGAGCGTAGCATGCTCACGGCCAACATCCAACACTGCACTCGGGTAAATGTGCAGCTTGCAGTTGCAACCGTAGTATAAAGAACACGACCGACTGGACACGACTAGACGCTTTTTTCAGTCAACTAAGCCATCCAGAAAAAGTTGCCTTTCACGGACACTTGACGTCCGCCCTCGTACACTGTACTCTTCGTGTCATAGCACCAAAGAGGACGGTATCTTCCCGAACCAGTATCCAAAAGTGGTTTCGTTCTTGGCAGCAAGAAGCTGCTGTGGATCACCACAACACTCTGCGGAATCCAATGCCGAATCTTCGCGCCTGCCGCGTCTCAACGGATCCCTTTGGCGCTTCAAAATGCGTGGCTGGCAGCGGACTCAAGCCCATCTGGCGTTCCAGCTGTTTTCAGCAGCCAAGGTGGCGCGGCAGTAATGCCTCGTTGGCCACACAGCAAAGCGTCCATACTCCAAAATTATGCTGCCCGAGTACTGGACGATCGTGCTCGAGGCCAAGACGCCGTACGAACGATCTTCCGAGCGATTTGTCTTCTTCTGGCCGCTCACGAGCGAAACACGATCGGCGCCAGCGGTCTCTGTCCTCCGCTTCCACCGCGTCTACCTCTTTGTCGCGGTCTTTCTCATCCAGTTTTGCTCGGGGTCAGTCTACTCACTTCTCTCGCTCGCCGACCCCATCAATCGTTTCTTTGGCTTCGGTGACAATTCGCCGGAAGCTACAAACCTCCTCTTCGAAGCCGGTGTCTTTAGCCTCCTCTCGCCCGCGCTCCTCGGACCGCTCCTCGAGCGCAAGGGGCCCCGGTGCAGCATGGCTGCTGGCACCCTTCTCACGGCGCTCGGTCTATTGCTATCACACGCTGCGCTTCTCACGTCGTCGTGGACGCTCTTGCATGTCGGGTACATTGCGCCGATATTCTTTCAAAGTCGCTGATTCGTTTGTAGATTTGACTGCATTGGGTTTGCATTTGGCGCCATCGTCACGTCGTCCATCTCGACCGCGCTCAAGTGGGCCCCCGATGTGCGCGGGACCGTCACGGGCGCGTGTCTTCTCGGGTCGGGCGTCGGCACCAACGTATGGCGCATCGCGTTCGAAGCGATCCTCGCGTCGTCTTTTGATAACCTCCGAAGCCTCTTTGGCCTCCTCTTTGCAGTGCTGGTGCCCATTTTGATGCTTGCAACGCTCGTGCTTCGGACGCCGCCGTCCGACTTTAGCGTCCGCGGCCACGACATGCACTGCATTCCGCTCGAGAAGGCGCCGAACGCTGACATGGTCCTCGACGAGTATTTCAAGGTGGGCATGACACTCCTCAACTACAACGCGATCCGTCCACCGTCCGACTGCCACCACGACGGCACCGATCGACAATACTACGAACAAGTCAAGGCGCTCACATTACCCCAGTGCATTCTCTCGACCGATTTTTTGTGTCTCTTTGTGGCCTTTGCCGCCAACGGTCTCTCGGGCTTGCTCTACACGGAAGTCACAGCGGTTCAAGTCGAGAAAGATTTGCTCGTAACCTGGTATGCGATTACGGACGATGATGCGACGCGGGTCCGACTGCGCGGCGCGGTGGCCGACCTTGTCGGCCGCTTTCTCATCTCGGCGCTCTCGGACGTGTGCATCCGCCTCTTTTATGGCAACCCCGCGGTCGTGCGCAAGAGCGGTTTTGTGCTCTTGCTGCTCGTGCAGTGCATTGCCGTGCCGATGCTCTATTTTGCCTCGGACAATATGTCCAACTTTGGTACCGTCGAGTGGCTGCTGTACACGGTGCAGTTTACTGCCAACGCCGGCGCGTCACTGATTGTGTGCTTCCTTACCGACATGTACGGCGTGTACCATGTCGGCACCATGTACGGCCTCGTGCTCATGGGCTGGGCCGTCGACCAAGTCGTGCTCGGTCGGGCGCCGTTGGCGTCGCCCACAGATCTTGCTCACCACGTCGAACTCGTTTGGTTCATCTCGCTCGGTGGCCTCTTTCTCATGTGGTTTGTGCGCACGACGTCGGCCGACCGCTTCTATCGCGGGTACCAGCTCACGATTTGCGGCAAAGTGCTCATTCAACGCCCTGCCAAGTCGCGCTTTGGGGCTGAAAAGACTCACGGATGCGACGCTGATGCAGGGCACCCCGGATCCTTTTTTCTCCTAAATTCTGACTCGATGCGCAAGCTCGAGGTCAACGACGTGCTGAGCCCGACGACGCCGTAGCTTTGTGTCGTTCTAGTATAACCCGACCCCTATATTCTATCCTATAGCTTAATGTTCCGACCACGTTCCGAGGTCAGAGAAATGTCGCGCACAACGCAACAAGGAGGCAAGAGCGATAGATTCTAGGTCACTCCAAGAGCAAGAACTCAAACATACCATTTTTTAGCTCTGCCTCACTTGGCAGACTATCTTGCGTGTAGGTGGTTAGGGTCTCGCCCTAAAAAAACCGCTGGTAGCAATTAGGAGCTAAGAGCGCAAGAATTGGGGTTCACCACGGGATGGATCTCTCCGTACGCAGCTCACTCCCAACGACCAAGTGCTGGAGCCAACTCCCACGCATTCAGGCGTAGCGCTACGTATGCGAAGTCTTTGTGTCATAATGAAGATAACGCGGAACACGTTCATATATAGGTCTGGTTTGCATTTTGGGCCCTCTGCCTTGCTTCGTACGGTCTCAAGCGCTGGCACAAAGAGCACCTCTTTGCAACCATTGACCCGACAATGCTCTCGATCACAGTTATGGTTTACGGTCCCCTTCTGACGTGGACGAGTGCGCACCTTCCGCCGTTCACGCGGTTCTATCAGTGGACGCTCACGTTTGGTATCCCCCGCGACGCCATTGACGAAGCTATCGAAGCGACGTTGGCTTGCATCGTGTATGTCGGAACCATTGCGAGCCTCCCGCTTCTCTACGGCTTTGCGTCGCCAGTGCTTCATCGAGCCGCACCACTACGTTTCGGTGCCGTCCACGCACCGCGCGACTATGCGAGTTTTCGCTACAACCATGTCAAGAACCGAATTCTCTTGAGCTTCCTTCAACGGCGCCAGCCGCAAGATAAAGCCATTGGCGGGACAGTGCACGCAGTCATGGACAAGCACCCGCGCCTTCGACGTTCGCCGAACATCAGCTCGCGTGCGACCGATTGCTTTGTGACGTGCTACTGCGACGGTCAACCCCAAGAGCAGTTGCGCGTGAGCTTGCTCTGCGACCTCGACCTGCGAGACAACGATGTCGACGCTGTGATTGTACACGGTGCTGTGCTATCTGAATTCGTTATCAATGTACTGCGCGAGGCACCGCTTAGCGTTCAGCCGGTGATCGGCCCTGGACCCGCCGTACCGACGAGCAACCCATATGTGCTGCACCGGGCAAGGACGCCATCGAGCTGGTGTCTCTAAGTTGCACCACAACTTTGTCGGAGAGGTCTTAAGAGTATCAACAAGAGTGTCGGTCGAAAATGAATAATGCTGCGAGAAGACGCTTGGTGCATTTTATTGGTTGTGGTTAATCTACTAGAAGTGCGTAAACAATGTGTACCGACCGGTAGCCTCGAACTCAGTACCGGCCTGTCTTTTTTGTTTGCGTGCAGCGGGTGGCTCCACCCGCGACGACGTTTCGCGCCCCCCGTGGGACCGTACGCACGCAAACGAACGCTAGCCAGAATCAAGATTCGGGCTGTGCACCGCGCAACGTAGTTTGCGCCCAGCAATCCGTGGTACGATTGTTGGCAAGCTTTGTGCATATCTTTGGCCGTTGTCGGTTGCGAGCTTCAAAGCCATTACTGTATTGAAGAGCGGTCGTCGCAAACGACCGCTCTTGGTCCACGCACAACGAGTCGGAGTGCATGTGACGTCGCGCCGACCCGACGCGTGTACGGAACATGTCCCGACAAAATGCAACTCCTTTCACAACATTACTCCTACACACAACGTTCGCTCAGCACATTTGGTTCGCAGCAGGACAGCCGCACAATATCGAGCTGACGTCACACGTCTCGAGCTGACAGCGCAACGAACGCCCGGAGAATTTTATTTAGCGAGATTGACGAATCCATTTCAATAGACGACCCACGTCAACAACGACGAACGCCCGGAGAGCCACCCGACGGTGCTTGGCTCGGCCATGCACGGTTGCAGAGAAGTTTGAACCAGATTGGTGCCAGAAACAAGACTCGACCGGGGCATGTTCCTCACGTGCGTCCCGTCATCGCATCTTCGTCGCAATCAGGTGGCGGCTCGATGTCCTTATGAACGTACGCAACAAATCCACACCGGGCACGGGGCGAACTGCGCCGTTGCGTGCATTTTCCGAGACGACTGCGGGCAAGGGTCTTTGGACCCTTGGTTGGCGTCGTCGTCAATCGGGTCGGTATTACTGCCTGCTACCGTGTACGTGCAGGGGTCACGTATCAAATGTTGGGGGTTGTGCAGCTCGACACTGTAGCACTCGAGATTCACGACACAGCAGCACAAGACCGATATCGGCGCTGGCATCATTCGCGAGCGCCGTCGGAAGTCCCATATTTGTATACTATGTAGTCTCTTTAAGGATCGCGGTTCGTACGTCACATGATATCAGCAAGTCGATATTTGATCACGTCCGTTCCCAACTGTAATTTCACTGTTTAAATTGTCACTTGCTCGAAGAAAAGTAGTGCTTTTGTTTCGAGATGTGGCGACTTCAATGCTGCATTGGTGGGCAATGGCTCCAACGAGCTACTGCAGCGACCAAGCAGAAAGTACCTCGCCTTTCCCACAGCCCACGCCATGTACAACGGGCTTGTGCAGCCGTGGCCGCACGTTGTATCGAGTTTGAAAGGTAAATGCAAACCAGATGTTGCACCCGGCTGGCGTCGCAGGCTCAGAAGAGGCGTCTGTCATACAGGCTTGGGTGGGGATCCGGTATCTTTGGTCCTCGTCTATACCCGTCACTTTCCAAAAGCATGGGTTGCGCCGACTACTGGACGATTGCGCTGCGGACAAAGTCCTTTTACGAGGTCGACGCGGAGAAATTTGTCTTTTTCTGGCCGCTCGCAAGCCGCGTCGCGCGGTACCCGGCCTTCCAGTGCCTCCGCTTCCATCGGCTCTACCTTTTTTTTGCGGTGTTTCTCATTCAATTTTTTTGCGGCTCGCTCTACGCCGTCTTTGTCATTGCCAACCCGATGAACGTCTACTTTGGCTTTGACGCCAACGGCAACGAAGCGACAACGATGCTCTTCGCGGCCGGTGCGTGTAGTATCGCGTCCCAGGCCTTCTTCGGTCCGCTTCTTGAGCGCCAGGGACCGCGGCGCAGCATGACGGTCAGCATTGGCTTGCTCGCGCTCGGGCTCCTCCTCGCGCAGTCGGCGGTTTGGACGCGAACGTGGGCACTTCTGCATATCGGGTATGCCTTCCTTTAGCCTCCCAATTTATGGCTCATTGCCAGAGCAGATGCTACCTCCTCGCGATCGCGTTTGGGGCCATGACGATTTCGTCCATGGCGACCGCGCTCAAGTGGTGTCCCGACCTTCGAGGCACGGTCACGGGCTGCTGCATCTTTGGGTACGGCCTTGGCACCGGCATTGTGCGCGCACTCTTACACGCCCTCCTCGACAACTACCCGAATACGCTTCGCTGGACGTTTGGCATTTCGTTTGCTGTCGCCATTCCGCTTCTCGCGCTCGCGACGCTCATACTACGGACGCCGCCGTCCGACTTTAGCGTCCGCGGTCACGACATGCACTGCATTCCGCTCGAGAAGGCGCCAAACGCTGACATGGTCCAGGATGAGTTTCTACGGGTCGGCATGACGCTCGTCAACTACAGTGTGGTGGGCGGCATCGAAGGCACCGATCGGCAGTACCACGAGCAAGTGCGCGCGCTCACGCTCTCGCAGTGCATCCTCTCGACCGACTTTGTGTGTCTCTACATTGCGTTCGCGGCCAACGCCCTCGTCGGCCTTCTCTACAACGACATGCTGGCACTGCGCGTCGACCACGACCTCCTCGTTGAATGGTGCCGCGTCTCGCCCGCCAAAGCCGCGTCCATTCGATTTTACGGCCTCCTCATTGATTTCGGCAGCCGTGTCTGCATCCCAATGCTCTCGGACGTGTGCATCCGGCTCTTCTATGCCAACCCCGCGGTCGTCCGCAAATTTGTGCTCGTGTTCTTGCTCTTGGTGCCGTGCATAGCACTCCCGATGGTCTATTTCAACAGCACCAACCTCGCCAAGATTGCGTACATTGAAGGGCTTCTCTACACCGTCCAGCTGTGCGCGAGCGGCGGCGCGGCACTCATCGTGTGCTTTCTTGCTGACATGTATGGCGTGTACCATGTCGGCACCATGTACGGCCTCATCTCGACCAGCTGGGTCCTCGACCGCGCGCTTCTCGGGCTTGCGCCGCTCAATGTACTTCATGACTTGACGAGCCGGCTGGGTCTTGTCTGGTACTGCTCGCTGGCCGGACTCTTTTTGATGTTGTTTGTGCGCACGGACTCGAAAGACCGGTTTTACCGCGGCTACCAGCTCACAGTGTGCGGCAAAGTGCTCGTGCAGCGGCCGGCGCGGCGGCGGGTGTCGGACGATCTCAAGGTTGGCATGATGGGCGTGTCATCGGACCCGCCACCGCAGTCGTTTTTCCTCTGGGACTCGGCGCGCCATAGTCTTAGCGACGACGATGCGCTCTTACCAACGCCGCGACTGTAACTGAACGGTGTATAGATAGTGAAATTATTTGTATCCCTTGCGTCCACACAGTTCCACGTCATCCACTCGATGGCAAATTCCAGGATAGCGCTCGTGTCTGAGCAAATTCTAGGGCAGCGCTCGTGTCCGAGTTGACCTTTTAGTACGGAATTATTCTAGTACTGAATGGTATTGTACTGACTGTGGGAATGCGAGTTTGGTGGACGTTATTGTCCATCGTCCTAGTGTTTCGTGCCTGCAATTGACAATTTTACCAGCTGAATAAACATGTTGAAGTAATCGTCGATTGAATGTGACACGGCGGGTCGTGAAGGAGACGTTGCTGTCCAGTCAACTGCAGCGCTCGCCAGACCCTTTATTGCAATAAGTGTTCTGCTCGTCTGTGGAGGTACTTGTTTGTTTTGGGCTCTATACAGAGATCTTGGGTTCAATATTGGCCAATCGTGCTTTGAGACTACCTCGATGGGATTTAACATGACGAATTTTCGCGGGAATCAAGTTTATAGGGATGCACATCATCTAAAGTACCTTCATCGACCCGCTTACGTCAAAGAACGACGAGCAATCCATCTGCATGGATTTGCATGCAGTCTGCAACGTACACCCCAAACGCCAGACCCATTTGGAGGAAGGGTCAAGCAAATCCCTTGGTCACCCCCTGCGTTGGGTACAGCGTCGTTCTCGGACAAAAACATTAGCAACACGACAAGTCGCACCAGGGGTCAGCGCAAGAACTATAGCGGCGAGCACCTCGCTGCAGGTTCTTCGAGCGACGGCGATCGTTTGCCCTACGGTTTCTTTGTGTGTGGCAGTCGTGGAGGCTCCTCACGTTGTCACGAAGTCAGAGCAAACTCATGGCGGTCGCCAGATGTCGCCTTTGCCGTTGCGGGACCACCGACGCGATTAATACCACCGACATCACATAAGTGATAGATGAAGTCGGCGGCCTACTCTTCGTGCTCTGACCACCAACGTAGCCAAACGTTCGTTCTGGTCAGTGACGAGAAAATTCAGTCTCGCACTTCCCGCATCACTTGAAATT